GTGTTTGGCTGTATTATGGCAAGTCCTGTACTCTGATTTACCAATCCTCTAACCAAACGGGTCTTCCATAGTAAGCAATAGGGATTTTAAAGAAAGAGATCCCCCCCCCTCCGAGTTTTTCAAATAGTAATGTTTGAGTAATTTAATTTCTATAGATCTTTTAGTGTCCTTGAATTTTGGTGGCTCCTTTAGCAACAGAAAGACTAGGTGATTGAAATAATCCGAAGAATCAACATACATTTTGCTATTATTGACATTCTTGCAGCTGTCTAAGCAGAAGTCCTAGTCATACAAAAATCTGAAGGAATGAAATCACTTCTTAATGGTATGAGATAATGCTGAGCTTTTACAGATACAAATGTTAATGTAAGTCATACTATAGGATTTGTATACTCTCTTGACATCAACACCATAAGTCATATGGAAGTGCATAACAACACTGCAAAGCCATTTTAATTATTTTTAAAAATCCAAGTCACCTTGAAAGAAAGACTGACATACATCACATGTGATATCACCTCTTAAAGAAACACCTTTGGATTCCAGCATTTGTTAACAGGTTTCTATCTTAGCGCCCAGTTCCTTACATGACTACATAGATCAGTATTTCAGTTGTTGTCTTTATTTTCTAAGTAGTGAACATTCCTCTACATATTTTTTTTCAGTAGATTACTACTGTTGAAGAGTAGAGATGAGGATGGAAAAAGAAAAAGGATTATTTTGATAGGAAAAGACCTAAATAAGAAGCAGCACATAGCCACAAACACTCTAGAAGGAGTGTTCTAGGTGCATGTAAGGTGGATATGATTCCTGAAGCTCAGTGAGTAGTTCAATCTCAGAACTTTTTTGCAGATACCATCTTTATTAGCTCTTTCCCAAAGTTTCAAATCATCTGAGCAGGTTAATGATTGCTGAAAGATACTGCTTAATAGAATAGTTGAATGCAACAAAAGGAAAATACAAAACTTAATAATTATTAAGTCCCATAAATTTGAGCCAATTTAATAATAATCAGAATTGGATAGCTGATGTACAGATTCATAAATGCATATGGCAGGCAACAGAACACAAGTCAGCTGCTCACCAGTTGTTACTGTTAGAGCTAGCAAAAATTTCATCACTGCCTTCTAATTTTGTCTGTGGAAGTGGAAAGTAAAGTTTGTAAAGAATGGAACTTTTCTGTGGAAAGTTTTGGCTTTTGGGGTTTTCTTTCCCCCCAGCATAGATTAGGTTTCCTGTGTGGGCTACATCTTCCATGAGCTGTCATCTGCCCTATAGCTACCTCTTTAGGTCACATTAGATACAGTTCAGACAGAGCTCAACCTCCTAAAGAGAAGACACGAAACATCTAGATCACAGCTCAAGCAGACAGACTGCCGAGGTCAAATATAGAATTATTTGCCAATTACATTTTTTCAAACCTTTCCCGCTCAGAACAAAACCAAAAATTATTATATTGCTTCTTTTTTTCCCCAAATTCTATATGAGAACCTTATGTGCCAAAATACCAGAGTTTCTCACAAGAAAAAAAAATTACTGCTTTTGCCCCGGTCAAGTCACTACCAACCTAAGTTAGATCTGAGCTTATGAAGGTAACTTAACTTTAATGGGTAAAACAGGAGTCTCATCATAGTTATTTCCAAGCCCTAATACAGAGTTTCTGACAAAAAGTAATAGGTTCGTGTCCTGCTTATAAAACTGTATTAGTTCAAAGTTGTTTATATATGAGAAGGTAGGGGAAGAAATATATTGTCCATCACAAAGTGGGCTGTTATACTTCCAGAGTGATTTGCTTCACTGCAGTGGTATTTATCATGTTGATAAAATAGACCATGGATCTGAAAATTGGAATCTTTTTCCTGTTAATTTGAAATAGCACCTATACATGCTGCTGTGACATCAACATAATACCCTAAAGCCACAGCATCTGAAAAGATTTATTTTCTGAGCCCTTATGCAGCCACATTCTCTTTGCTTCTGACATTCTCAATTTGCAGGCTGCTGGTGATCCAATCTTATTCATTCTGGCTCTATAATAAGGATGTCAATGCAAAGAGAAAAGTCATTATCTGATAGCCAGCAGACATGATAAAAAGGCAGTTAGATATCTCAGAGGAAAGGCCACCCTTTCTGCCTTGGATGAGCTTCTCAAGGTCATGGGCAGCTTTTGTACCTGTAAGTATGCTCCAAATTCACTCTAAGCTGAGTGCATCAGATAAAACTGAAATGTCCCTACCACACAGTCTCATGTTCTGAGTAAGGTTTTGATTTTTTATTACTGATCAGTGAAAAGTTTTAATTATGATTAGAACATATATATGCAGTGAGAAACATCAAAGAGGCAATGTGAGCTGCAGAGAAATTTAGTCTATGTTTATGGGTCCTGCCTGGTTAATGGCATTCATATGGGTTTGGATTATGCTGAAGTATTTCCCACAGTAGCAATAATCAGCAAGACTAGTTAACCATTTGTATAGAAAGATTTTTACCTCAAATTTAAAAATAATAATGAATATCATCTGGTTTGGTGAACTGTTCAGATGTCACAGCTGCAGCAACTGACAGCAAAAATATATTCATTGACTTTGTCAAAAAACTACTAAGTACCATTCCAGAAGATAAGCTACCATCAAGCAGAAGTTAATGGGCTCGTATAAGCAGTAAGTGGATGAAATAGTTTGAGCTCCAATATACGTAAGCTAAACTAGATCAATCAATCTTTCATCTACAAATACGTACACCATACAATGCCCTTTACAGGCCACATTAAGGTAAAAGTTTGAAACAATCCCTCTACGGTTATTACTGAGTATCAATTGTAGCTAAAGAGGCAGTTTAATTTTATGTGTGCAGATCAGAAAAGCATACAGAACAGGAGGCCAGCACATGTCTGGCCCCTAGGCTGTAGGTAGCAGAGGCAAGCCGTGGGAGAGAATTCAATATGCTCCTGGGCCTCCTAAACTGAAAATTCCTTTCCCCGTACTATTTGTGTGGCTCTTGTAAAACTGATTTATGGAGAGGACATTTCCCAGATTATTCTGATCTTTCACTCACTTTCTCAACTTTGCTACAAGAAAATAAGATAAATGCAACCAATACCCTTGCTTGTTCTTAGCATCATCATCAGTTCCTTTTTAACACTATGTAAATATTTACCATACTAAGGCAGAAGTTCTTATCCACTTCCTGTATCTCTCTAGAATATAGGCAGAATCTGATGCACAGTGTTTTTTATTCTTTTGGTGTTAAAAACACACAGATGTGAGTTTGCATTTTAGCGTGGCAGTCTGCACTACTGTATAATTGCTTTAGAGGGCAAAACCCCAAACATTCAATGCATTCAAATATTAAGGCAGTGCCACCTGTGTCATTACACTTGACACAAGCAATTGCCATAGCCAGACCTACACAACCCTTTCTTCAGTGAACAATTTTCCATCATCTTCCATAATTCAACGATAGCTCCAAACTCCCTGTACTTAGTTTTTAAGTCTTTCTGCATCCCTAGTTATTCCTACCTTAATAAGCTGCTATCAGAGCTGCTGTAGACCTTATGTGATGGAGCACTCAATAGGTGTGCTGAGATCAATCTTTCACCAGAGTTTCACCAGAGGCACAGAAGGTAGTCTTGCAAGAAGACAAAAAGTAGATCGCAAGAAGCTATTTGAGGACAACATACCTAGTTTCTTCCCTATCCAAACTGGTCAGAATTAGTAAAAAGCACAGTATTTTCCTATCTTTTTGTAATGAGGAGGGACTATTCAGTTCCAGTTTTATCATTAAGTGGGACTCTTAACCAGGGAGTCAGAAGAAAGCATAGATCCAACAAAAGTTTTCCATGAAAATGCACTGATATCAATATCATGTCTGACAGACCTGAGCTGTTCTCAAACTTTTAAGGAATCGCTGAAATTTTTTTTAATGCCTTCAACTACACCTAGGGATTGGAAAGGTTAAAAAAAATAAAACTTGTTAAATTGCCATTCCATTTGAAACTGGCAGGTTGCCTGTGCAAAAATAAGATTGAACAAAATATAAAAGTAAATCAAATACAGGCCAGATTTCACTCTGAAGCCACTCCTGATGTATACTTGGGATAACCATGGGAAGTCCCATAAGCAGATGACATGCTGGCATTTATCTAGTGTAAGTGGGAAGTTTCAACCTTCCTCAGGATCCAGATGGAATAGCTTTGAATCCAACAGACACTTCTTTTTTTTAAAAAAAAAAAAAAAAATTAGCTTCTATGGAGCCTTTGCATTCAGTGACTTGAATAATATCCCTCTCTCTCTTGCTACAGCAATGCTCTGTAGAAAGCCATCACCTGCAATCCGAAACCTTTTTCAGCTTTTGTAATGCACCTACCTTACTCATTTTGTGAGCTTCTGCCTGGGAGCTACAGAAATAAGCAGTGTGATAGCAGCCTGATAGCAGCTGCAACCAGAGGCTTATTTCACCGTACAGCAGCAAGTGTAAAATCTAACTGGTCACTCTTGGCCAGTCTAAATCATCTTTGAGCAGGAACCATTCATAAAGGCAGAATCAACAAAATCTTCATCATTTCCACTAATATAGCTTATCTGCGTGCCTCACCGGGACATCTGAGCTCCTTCTTCCCATCTGTCAGTCTCCTCGATAAAAAGACTGCATATTCCAACAGTGTCCCAACCGGGAATTAAAAAAATAAGGGTATCAAAAACATACTTTATTGTTGTGGTGTTTGAGACACTTTGTTGTGATTATTTAAAAATGAAAGCATACTATGCACTGTCCTATACTGAGCTTCCTCCTACTCATTTCCAGTTACATTTTGTTAATACAGCATATATAAAGGTAATGGGAGGTGTGAGATCATCAACCCCAAAGAACTTGTACTAACCCAGCGCATACATGTAACATTGTTCTGTCAGTGTGCTTCAGCTCTAGTTCAGCAAGTAGTCACTAAGCCCATTCTGTCCTGAGGCAAGGCTTAACTGAGGCTGGCAGGGATGTAGAGGTGTATGATTCTGCACGCAAAATGCTTCCAGTACAACACATCAGCACTTCTTCATGAGCTGTTCATTCACATTTCAGTCTGGGAAACAAACCCACTCTACGTCTCATCCTTTCCACCAGTGATGACATGAATGATCATCTTTATTAAGACGATAGAGAGATTTTAAACCAAGGGAAGAGATTTCAGTACCTTAGTAAGATCCAGCCTTAAAATCATCTCCAATTTTTAAAGGGAACAAAGAAAACCCTATCAATTACAGACATACAGACACCATTGCAGCTTTCCCAGAGCTGATGTGCCTTTGGGGGGGGGCGGGGACAGACATCACAAAAAATCCACAGCTACTTCAGTATGGAGAGAAGTGGTTTTAACTTACATGTAGTACTTCCCTTTTGTCTCATCTGGGATACAAGCAGACAAAAGCCAGTGGAGAGAAGCCACTCCTAGTAAAGGGCTGTATCTTGGATGAACCAAGCTCTCATGACTCATCTGCACACCAAGACATTACACTCTGACAGGATCTGACCCAACTGAAACGTCAACATTCCTTACTGCCGGGTTAGAAAGGAATAAGGAGTGAAGGCATGCCCTTTCAAAGATAGGTTAAGGAGAAGCAGTACAACCTACGCCAAAAAAGTCAAGTTGTACTACACCTCTTTCAGTTATGTGGAGTTACTTTACAAATTGGTCTGTTGAGATGCAGAAGCACTAGGTAAAATAATATAATGTGATATTTAAGGGATTTTGCAGATAGATAATTTATCGTCTAACAGAATGAATAGTGTAAGCAATTTTCCACTAGTACTCTCATTCTAAATTAAGTGTTTGCTCAGTCATATGTGCCCCTTGCATTGTATTTACAGCTGCAACAGCCAGCACGTTCTGTTGGTGCCGTGTCTGGTTAGTTACACAACTCCCATCACTGGATAACAGCAATGGTTTGTGCATCCAATACAATTCATATTTACAGGATTAGATATAAAGTATTCATATTTATGCATGTATTTTTTTACAAGTTGCAGTTTCACTGAAAAAATACAATTCGCCTCAAAAAAAAAGCTTAGTACTCTGCTATTGCTCTTCTATGTATGAGCTTTACATAAATTTCCAGATATTTCATTCTGAATGAAAAAACATAGCGTTTTTATATATGGAAATGTACAGTTAATCAAAAGAACATGTATTTGGATAAGAGGAGAAAAATTTATAAGATATTCCTTTGCCAAAAGTGACATAAATAACTTTTGCCCCCAGAAAATTCGAAACCAAAGAATTTATATCAGCATAGCATCTCATTCTGTAGTTGTTAGTCGTTTGAGCAATGCCCATAGCAGTAAGTCAGTCTGTAAAGTGTGGAGGACTAGACTCAGTGTCAAACTGAAAATAGTACTGTAAGAGAAGTTTATCAACTGCATACTGTTTTAGGAGCTAGGCTAAGGGGAGTTATTAATTCCTTCTAATAAGGGCAATATTGCAATATATCTTGTCTTTGCCAGAGACTGGGTTCAATTAGATTACGAGCATAAAAAAAGAGAAAGATTCACGATGGTGAGAAACAAGAGATAAAATAGACAAGATTGGGAACAGCTAAGGAAGCCCTGAGAATGTGCTAGATAAATGGGCTGTCGTGAAATAAAGAATAACACCTCAAGTACAAGCGGAGAGTGTAAGAGAGAGTACTTTCTATTTGAAGTCACTGCTAACCTCTTAAATTCCTATAAAGCAAAATAGGACCAAATATTAGTGCTCACACTGGGTGGCACCACAGGAATCTCCAAAACAGTCACCATGTTAAGATAATATGCTATGTCTTCCATAGCTAAACAATACACAACAACAACTCCAAAAAAATCTAGTGGACTATTATTTTCTTTAGACAGTGTCTTCCTGTTAGGAGGATCATTTAAAAGTTGTCAAAGTTTCAAAAAAATCCGAAAGGACTCACTGTGGCCTCTTCTCTCTCCCGCTAAACTTTACAGGAAGTTTATCACCAACTCCAGTTTCAGTACTACTTGACTTCATTTTGACCACCACAAGCCTGATACTGCATGGAGTCAACCTCACACCCCATGCTCATGTTCTCGTTGTGATGGCAACAAAGTTGATTCTTCCCTTCTATCTTTGCAAGTCAGCCAAAATTACCAATAAATTATCAGCCAGTACTTTCAGTTCAGGTGTCAATTCCCTGCAATTGTGATTTAAACTAACTGGCACTGCTGTTATATTTGCGTCCTTCAAAGACACAATTTGCAAAAATCTGAATAAAGAAGCCTATGGAAAGCCAGAAAGAGTACACACTTGTTGGACGCATTACCAACAGAGATAGTTAAACAAAACTGTACAAATGGGAAACACAAATACAATTTTGTGAATTTTGAGGAAGTTTAGTTCTAGTGCAACGGTTGTAACATCAGCGGAATCTACCCCTCAAACGTACAGCCCATACCCAAAAAGTCTTTGTGCTAAGAGTATTAAGTAGGACGGTTTTCCATACCCTTTTAATTTAATGCTACAGAATCTGTTTAATTTTCAGAAAATCCAGTTTTCTCTTTTGGCATAAAAGTGCTTTGTAAAAGCTCAGCACATTTCTTGGCCGTCTATCTTAATTAAAGATTCTCAGCCAACAGTCAAGTGCTTCTAAAAAATTAACAAAAATCCTACTACATGCTAATTCCCCAGTTCTTTTTGTATTTCTACTCAGTTCTCCGAATGCGAAGCATTAGCCAATGATAATATACATTGGCTTGAAGCCATCACCTTCTTTTTAAGGTTATTGTGACTGCAAGACACTAAGTGGTATATCCCAAAGGAAAAGAGTGGAAAAGACATTGCTAAAAACTATCTGCTAACATCTATCCATACAAAAAGCACTTGCACTTCCAAAAACACATATTCACTTTACAGAACATTCAAAAGAGCAAAATTTTGTTAGCCTTAGTTTCTGTAGGAAACAAATTATTTATCTGTTCAACAGGCATATAGCCAGATATAAAAATACATCCATGCCATATTTGAAAGCTAGTCTTGGTATATGTTTATTTCCAGTTAATTTCTTGCATCAATAAAATTCTAGTTTACTCAGTACATAGTCTGATCCTGAGCAGCTAATGGGAGATTTCTTTTTAATTGGGG